ATCATACCCAGCCCCAAGTGGTGCACCTCCTGAGGCTCGAACTCGCGACTTTTTAGATTAGAGTCTAACGCCCTAACCATTGGGCCACGGGCTCACCTATACTCCTAGCTGCTATGGCTCCTGTAAGGACTCGAAAAATGAGGCCCATAGCAGAGCGGGACAAGGAAGTTCCGTTAGCGGTAGGTGAAAGTTCATCAGCGAATGTCAATATTTCCCAATCTAAACCGGCAAGACAGTGACCTCGTTGTTCAATGGTTTGAGCGTTATTCTTCTGATCAAAAATTCGCCAGTTCGAGCCTCGGGTGGTGCACTGATTGGGGCTGGATATGACAAGCTGCTAATGGCTAATAAGCCAGAAATCGTCATTCCAGCCTTCCTTGTCTTCGCCATTCTTTCTACATTATTAGTCGCTATATCGCTGCTAGTGGAGGTCAAGAGGGAATTCGAAGGCACACCATGGAAAGTGAGTGCTCTACCCATCCGGTGAGCGTTGTAGCGGTCCAAGTAGTAGGTGTACTAGGATCATTACAATCATCAGATCAAATCCCCAGGTAGAAGGTAAAAGGCAGAAGTCACCAAAATGAGGGGTTTATTGTGTAAATAACTCTTAATTGCTGTCCCAGGCGACAGTGGCCACTGGCGAAGCCAACGCTAGTGTTGACTGTGTCCAGTCAGACCTGAGAGAGAAAAGGCAATGGTGGCAGCTGCTGAAGTAGAATTGTGAAGCGAGTTCAAGTGGTTTGTTATTATTGTGTTGCAAGTGTCCGAGGGACTGTCGCCTGCAAAGGCCCCCTGCTGCGTCGGCCAAAGAAGTGGCCTTTAGGAAGGCATTCTTATTTGGACGCGCGTGTACGCGCTGGTGTGTGCGTGACTGAATAAGTTGAGGTCAATTGTGGGGGCCGCCAGAGGGCCTGAGAACAGGGGACGCTGGCACAGCTTTTATCGGTTAGCAGAAGCAGCTGCAAGGTCAAGCCTCGGGTAACGGGGACGCCAGTGTAAGAAAACATGGGAACAGTTGTTTGTGACGACACATGACTTTGGAGCAACGGGCCTTGAAGAACGAAAGGGGAACAGGCATTGTGGCCGTCCGCCACAGCATCAATCTGCCATTTTGTATGCATATATATACAGGGTGCCCCAAAAAAATATATACACATTTTTAATAACTGTAAACTTGGCGTTTATTATCATTTTATTATTTCAAAAATGTAAAAATATTAACAAGGATCATTTGTTTTTTTTTTCACTGCATGTTGACTATGCTTTAAATAATTGAATTGCGAGAGGCCATTGAACGTGAATGCGCCTAAATAGCAAGGGAATTGCTTCATGCTGTGTGCGATTTTCACT